TTAGTCTGGAAAGACTTTGTTTAAATGAAAGGTGCACTATCCCTTTTGATTCTATTTTAAAATTATCTAGTTAAAGAACTCCAAATTTCCAATGACAATGAAAATTAAATGTGAAATTGAAGTGAACAAACCCTCATCTCATAAAGGACAGGGTGTGTGTGGCTTTGATCTTTAGCCTGTTGCACACCAATTCAGAACACTAGACCCAGGATTGAAAGAGAGACAAACCACAGCTGAACCATCCTTTTGTCTCAAAATGGGAAGGTTTTAGGCGGAGGGAAGTGGGGATGGTTTGTGTTTTCAAGAGTGGGGGAATGATGTCTAAACACAAAAAATAAATTTTTTTCGTTTCCAGAAACACTATTTATTTTTTTTTTAATTTTTTATCTTTTTGGGGGTGAAATTGGCAGATGCCTGAGGTCATAGCTATGTCCTGGGTTACTGTGGTAGGGGAGGACCCAAAGGGTCCCACCAAGTGTACACAGTGGCCTTGCAGCAGCAGGCAAAATCAAGGGATGACCCGCCTGTGGGGCCCTCTGTCCTCAGCACATTCCAGGCAGCTGTGCCCTGACCACGGGGAACCACAGGGATAGGAGGCAGCCCAGGCCTCTGCTGGCAGCATAGGCAGTATGAGCTGTGGGCAGTGACAGGGAGGGACTGTCAGTGTGATCAGTGTGGGTTAAGCTGACCAGGAATACCCACTTAACTCTTTTTCCTTTTTGCTTTTATTTTTATAAAGGAAAAGGGGGCCTGTCACATAGGCAGCCCCATGCTACATGATTCTTTATGTTGTTTTGTTTTGTAAATTGTATAATTTTTAAATATCTGAGTTTTAAAAAAAGAAAAAAGTACAAAAAAAATCTTAAGGCCTTAAGAAGGGGTTAGTGCATCTTTCAGGGGTCACTCTGCCATGGGGATAAAATAGCTGTTTCACAAACAGTTTTATTTAAAAAAAAACAAAAAAATCAAAAAAATAATAAACTTCATTTTAACCTTGTTTCCTTTTTTGTGTAATGTAAACTGAATGCGTCTCTTCTTTCTCCCAGTCTGGCTTCCAAAAGGTGGCTTTGGTGCTGCAGAGGAGGCTGCCCTCAAGCCTGGTCTGTCCCTTCCCAGCCTCTCAAAGACCAGGTGGCTTATGCAGCAGAGCCTCGAACCAAACAAAACCCAGGACTCCACCCTGCCACTCCTGGGGTGGGGGGACCTCAGCCAGTTTAGGGGGACAGTCAGATTTACTTAAGTTGATGTGAGGTCATATTTCCAATCAACATAAATTTTAAAGGTTATTAAAAAATAATGCAGGCTGGGCGCAGTGGCTCACGCCTGTAATCCTAGCAGTCTGGGAGGCCAAGGCGGGTGGATCGCTCAAGGTCAGGAGTTCGAGACCAGCCTGAGCAAGAGCGAGACCCCGTCTCTACTAAAAAATAGAAAGAAATGATCTGGACAACTAAAAATATGTATGTATAGAAAAAATTAGCCAGGCATGGTGGCGCATGCCTGTAGTCCCAGCTACTCAGGAGGCTGAGGCAGGAGGATCGCTTGAGCCCAGGAGTTTGAGGTTGCTGTGAGGTAGGCTGATGCCATGGCACTCTAGCCTGGGCGACAGAGCGAGACACTATCTCAAAAATAAATAAAAAACCATACAGTATCACAACTATTTACAGTTGCTGTGAGGTAGGCTGATGCCATGGCACTCTAGCCTGGGCAACAGAGCAAGATTCTGTCCCAAAAAAGAAAAAAAAGAAAAATAGAAATTAATCGGAGAACTAAAAATATATAGAAAAAATTAGCCGGGCATGGTGGCACATGCCTGTAGTCTCAGCTACTCGGGAGGCTGAGGCAGAAGGATCGCTTGAGCCCAGGAGTGGGCAACACAGTGAGACTCTGTCTCAAAAAAAAAAAAAAAAAATGGAATGTTAATGGGCTTTTTTAGAGGGCAGAAATACTGGAAGGAATGTTGTGAAGTAGAAATAAGCAATTATAAATGAGTTCTCATGTGCTCATCAATTTGGGGCTGCAGAAATGTTAGATTAATTTCATTTTAATGGCTGCATCAAGTATTGCGGTCCATTTCTCATTTCGCTTTGCCAGGATGGAGGTGTGGGCAGGTGCACTGTGTTGGCCATGGGACCATGCTCAGGCAGCTGAACAGACCTGCATAGAAATGAGGGCTTTCTGAGCTGGTTGGCTTCCTGTTCTGGTCTTTGCTTGGCATCGATGCAGTTAAAATGAAATTGATAGATTTCGGGTGTCAAGAGCTAAACCACAAAACTTGAAAAATATGTATCTTGAGGAAAATACAATGTTTTCCTGACAGCAGATACTGCTTTGTCATTTTGCCTTTTATTCTTTTGTCCCCTTTTGATTTGCTGATGATACTTGAGCCAGGGGCATTTGTGTTTGTTCTAGGTCTTTCCTTAAACTGGCTTCAGAAATGACCTTTTAACTGGGGAGTGACGTGTCGCATACTCCCTGCTCCAGCTTCCTGCTTTCTGCAGCAAGCCTTAGCTGCCCATGTGCCTTGCTCAACCACAGCTTTTGAGTTCAGTGTTTGTTTTAATACTTTTATCTTTGTGTGTGTGTGTGTTACCCGGGCTAGAGTGCAGTGGTGTTATCATAGCTCACTGTAACCTCAAACTCCTGGGTTCAGGTGATCCTCCTGCCTCAGCCTCCTGAGTATCTGGGACTACAGGTGTGCAACACCACACTGAGCTAATTTTTAAATTTTTTTGTAGAAACAGGATCTCACTATGTTGCTCAGGCTGGTCCCAAACTCCTGGGCTCAAATGATCCTCCCACCTCGACCTCCCAAAGTGATGGGATTACAGGCGTAAGCCACCGTGCCCAGCCTTAACAGTTTTTTTAGAGCAGTTTTAGGTTCACAGCAGTTTTGAGCAAAAGGTACACAGTTCCCGTATTTCCCTTCCCCCACACATGCATAGCTTCCCCCACTGTCAACATCCCCACCAGAGTGGTACATTTTTTAGAAGTGATTAACACATTGTTATCAGACCATAATTTGCACTGGGGGTCCATCTTGCTATTGTACATTTTATGGCTTTTGACAAATGTATAAAATGACACGTATCCACCGTTATAGTATGATCCCAGAATAGTTTTGCTGCCCTAAAAATTCTGTGTTCCACCTGTTCATCCCTCCCTCCCCCAGCCCCTGGCAACCACTGATCTTTTTACTGTCTCCATAGTTTTGCCTTTTCCAGATTGTCACATAATTGACATCTTACAGTATGTAGCCTTTTTAGATTGGCTTCTTTCACTTAGTAATATGCATTTAAGGTTCTTCTCATGACTTGATAGCTCCTTTTTTTCTAGTGCTGAATATTCCATTGTCTGGATGTACCACAGTTTATCCATTCACCTGCCGAAGGACATCTTGGTTGCTTTCAAGTTTTGGCAATTTCAAATAAAGCTGCTATAAACATCCATGTGCAGGATTTTGTGTGGACATAAGGTCTCAACTCCTCTGGGTAAGTACCTACCAAGGAGTGTGATTGCTGAATCATAAGGTAAGAATATGTCTAGTTTTGTAAGAAACTGCCCAACTGTCTTCCAAAGTATCTGTACAGTATTGCATTCCCACAGCAGTCAATGAGCTCCTGTTACTCCACATCCTCACCAACATTTGGTGGTATCAGTTTGGCCATTGTAATAGGTGCCCCTCCCCCCCTTTTTTTGAGACAGGGTCTTGCTCTGTCACCTGGGCTAGGGTGCAGTAGTATCACCATAGCTCACTGCAACCTCCACCTCTTGGCCTCAAGTGATCCTCCAGCCTCAGCCTCCCGAATAGCTGGGACTGTGGGTGAGCACCACCGCATCCTACTGATTACTGTTTTGTAGATACGGGGTCTTGCCGTGTTGCCCAGGCTGGTCTCGAACTTCTGGCCTTAAGCGATGCTCCAGCTTCAGCCTCCCAAACTTCTCGGATTATGGGCATGAGCTACCTTTCCTGGGTGCAATTTTTCAAAAATAGTTTTTAGAAATTGTTAAAAAAAATAAAATTTGCAATCTTCACAGTTCAGTGGTGGTAAGTATATTCATGTTGTGCAACTGGTCTCTGGAACTTTTTCATCTTGCAAAAAGCAATTCCCCTGCAGGCTGTCCCTGCTCCTTGAGCTTTCCATTTGTTTCTAGACTACAGCCAGCCCTCTGTATCCACAGGTTCCATATCTGTGTGTTCAACCACGGATCGAAAATATTTGGGGGAAAAAACACGACGGTAAAAAAGTAATATAAACAGGCCCAGCGCGGTGGCTCCCACCTGTAATCCTAGCACTCTGGGAGGAGGATCACTTCAGGTGAGGAGTTTGAGACCAGCCTGCATAAGAGCGAGACCCCATCTGCTAAAAATAGAAAAAATTAGCCAGGCACGGTGGCTTGTGCCTGTAGTCCCAGCTACTTATGAGGCTGAGGCAGGAGGATTGCTTGAGCCCAGGAGTTTGAGGTTGCTGTGAGCTAGACTGACGCCATGGCACTCTAGCCTGGGCGACAGAGCGAGACACTATCTCAAAAATAAATAAAAAACCATACAGTATCACAACTATTTACATTTTATTAGGTACCGTAAGCTAGAGATGATTTGAAGCATACAGGAAGTTATATACAAATACTGGGCCATTTTACCTAAGGGCCCTGACCATCCTTAGAGCTCCTGGAACCATCCCCCACCAGGATACCTGGAAACAATGACTCCCTTGCTCCCAGAGCCTGCCTGCGAAACTGCAGATGCCCTGCTGCTGGAAGGCCACCAACCAGGCACCCAGACTCCCTCAGCACTCTGGGTCAGGCCCACAGCCTGTCCTTCAGGAGGAGCTGGGAATCCGGAGATTCCTCCAGATGGCACTGCTATGCAGGGGCAGGGAGGGCGGTAATGGTGAGCAAAATGCTCAGACTTGCCTAACCTTCTGAGTGCAGTCCCCTCCTGCCTCTGGACCAGCGGGGCGCTACAGCTTCCTAACTAGAATTCTAGAATTCTCACAAAGATGTTTTGGTCTGTGTACTACCATTAACCCCAGGATCTCTGGGGCAAGGGCCTAGAGCCTCCTGGTCCAGGTGCTTCCTGGCGTATTTCTAAATGGTGTTCATGTGCCAGTGTTCAGAGGGCCCACAAGTGCACAGTGCATTTTATACTGTGACATGGGCAGTCCCAGTACTTGGGAAGGACAGGCTGGGTGTGTTTTTATAAAATAATAAATCCCAGGAACTTCTATACTGGTCATTGATAGACTATGACGTTGAAAGAGTGTAGGGCAGTCGCTCAGAGCATGTGTCTTGGACGTGGGCTCTGATCCTGCTCTGTCACTTTGACCTCGTTACATGACCTCTGAGACTCAGTCTCCTCTGTTCCTTAGTGGGCTGTGGGAGGCCTAATGAGTCTGAGCACACGGAGTCTGAGCAGCAGTGCCCGGCATGTGAGTGCCAACCAGTGGAAGCCACAGTTGCACAATGACAGCAGAAGGCCACAGGCCTCATCACTGAAGGTTCCCCTCACTCTGCCCATGCTGAATTACAGGCTCCTGGCATCAGGAGGGCACTGCCACAATACAGGCCTGTCTCTGCCCTTCACACCTCTGTTAGGATGCCTACTTGGGGCAGGCCTGACACCTCAAAAAGCCAAGGGAGCCAGGCGCAGTGGCTCATGCCCAGAACCCTAGCACTCTGGGAGGCCAAGGCAGGATCACTTCAGGTCAGGAGTTCAAGACCACCCTGAGCAAGAGTGAGACTCTGACTCTACTAAAAATAGAAAAAATCAGCCCGGAGTGGTGGGATGAGCCTGTAGTCCCAGCTACCTATAAGGCTGAGGTAGGAGGATGTCTTGAGCCCAGGAGTTGGAGGTTGCAGTGAGCTATGATGATGCCACTGCACTCTAGCCAGGGAGACAGAGTGAGACCCTGTCTCAAAAAAAAAAAAAGCGCCAAGGGGAAATAAAGGCAATTTATCAAGAGCCACCATGTGACAAGGACCCGCACCACCCTGCAACCCTGCACCTTGATTCTCTGATAGTCCCAGATACAAAGTTGCTGCCACCGTTCACCTGAGGCCACATGGGAGGCCACAGCTGGATCTGAGACTACCCTAGAGTATACATCGGTCTTGCTCTCCTGGTCAGTTGAGTAGCCTCAAAACTCCTCCTCCTGCCTGCTGTTCCCACATCGAGTCGTCAGCCAGGCTTGCAAACCCCCAAGCTCCAGCCACCTTCCCGCTGCCCCTCAGCCTGCTGCCCAGGATGTCCCAGTGTTGCCTTGGTCCCACTGCCAGGGCCTTGCCCTGCAGTGCCTTTGAGTCCCTCAGTCTCTGCCAGCCAAAGCCCTCCAAGAAGCCTTCCCAGAAAGTCCTCTTCAAGCCTGAGCAAATGTCCTCGTGACCCTCGAAGCACTACTGGCTTGACGTATTAGCTATCTGACCTTCCTGCTCTTCGTCATGAGTACCTTGGAGCAGAGGACCTCCTTCCCTTCCACCAAGTCCCCGTGCACATCCCAGCACGAAGCACAAGTGGCACATCCAGCTTGACATGAGCGCTCCCCCCAGGCCTCTTCCACCACTCCCCTACCCTGGGTAAGCACCTGGGGAGGGCAGCAGGGGCAAGTACCTCCTGACCAGTCCCTCTACCTGGCCTGCCCTGGCCCTGAACCCTCTGGCAGCACAGTTAACACAACACATTGGCTGATAGCACAGGGCAAAGGCCAGGAGAAGGTCCTTTCATAAGGAAACAGCACAGACTGTTCTGGCACTCAGGGTGTGCCAGGAGGGTTCTGCCTGGACTGCTGGAGTGACAGGTGTTATTGGAGTCCAGTAGACAGGCAGCTATGGGGCTGCTGACAGGGGATGTGTTGCTGTCCCTGGCTTTGGCCACCGCCATATTCCTGCTCCTAGTGGACCTCATGCACCGGCGCCCACGCTGGGCTGCACGCTACCCACCAGGCCCCATGTCACTACCAGGGCTGGGCAACCTGCTGCAGGTGGACTTCCAGGACATACCCTACTGCTTTGGCCAGGTGAGGGCGGTGGTGGCGGAACGCAGCAGGGGGCCTGGGCACGCCCCAGCAGCAGACATGGGTGGTGGGTAAGACAGTCTGGACAAGGAGCTGGGCCCAGAAGAGGAAGCAGGTGTGAGAGGCTCCCTGGGGAGGGCATTTGTGCAGAACCTGAGAGACAGTTTGGATTTTCCAAAGGAAAA